GTTCAAACGGGTTCACACGCTCCAGTGACAATCATGTGTCAAATATCAGGCATTATACCTGCTATTACCAAGTTTTTGCTCGACATAGTTTCCCATCAGAAGAGACAGAACTTGGTAACTGATTCCAAAGTCACATGCAATTACCCGTTCATCAATTGAGTCCACTATTTACAGTGATCTAGCTAATGCTAGTAAATTTATCCGACATCTCTGGTTTAAGTATTTTGACTTACTGATTCTCCTGCCTTTTTAGTTTTATTTTATAAACATTTAACCTTGTACATTGGCAGCACTCCGATCCGCCTCAACTTTGAACCTGTGTAGCTACTTACTTGAAATGTGAGGAGTATATGCAAAACTGCTGAGCTTTTCCCTTGCAACATTGATTTCAAATTTGGTCCACGCATCTTCAATAGGTCTGAACGATTCAGTGATTCTCTCACATGCGCACACGTTTTCACAACATAAATAACTTATTCACCTGCTGAGAGGGCTCTGTGCCGTTCTCGACTGATATTCCAGCGATTTTAAGCAGCCTGACTAATTGTCATTATCATTTTAATCTGATTCTGGTATTGTTTTAAAAACGATTCAACCATTTATACTCGGATTCAAATGTTTCTTATTGTGGTGTAAAATGCATATCTGCTTCCAACCTGGTAGGTGACTTGCTTTATGCTGAATGTCAGTACGATTGGATGTTTGCACACGTGGTGCATAAAGAAAGCGCGTAACAAGTTTTAGCCTTCTTAAGAGGACATGGAGGAACAACTCACCGCTTCTTCTCGAAGAGCTTGCACCTACATTCCCTCATTGCTATTGCCTTGACCTTCATGAAGGGGGACAGCACAATCCATCAACCAGTGCTGCAGTCAAGAAAAATTCAGTTACAGCACCGGCAGTTAAAGTGGTTGTCTTGCGTTTCGACAAATGCCCAATTATTAGTCCTCGGTTTAATTCTCTGCAGGTCTGCCAATCTTATTCCTGTTTAAATTCTTCCTTCAACACGTGTGATAGTAAGGAGAATCTGTCGATAAAGGTTAAGTGCTTGAATTGTGCCTCGGCGATGTAACGTCAATTTCTTTACGAAATAAGTGAGGATCATAGCTGAGTGATCGGCTAGGGCGCTCTTTTTCACGACACTTTAGTACATTGAACAAGTTAACTTCTCACTAGTTTGTTGAGCATATTGAAGAGCAAATTCCCCACAGGTTTTAGTGGTTGGTCCACCTTCCGATTGGCTACAATGAGTGACTTAGCTAGCACTAACTAGCGAGGCTGTCATGTAGCAATTCTCGCTCTCCACTTGATTTGTTTTTTTCCTGAACCCACACTGTGAGATTGGTGCGCAAAGGTCACCATGATTGGTATGTTAATAAACCCTCCTACCCCACCTGTGCACACACACCAACACGTTTTTAGGGCTTCGCTTCTTTAGAATTATTGGATTATCAATTCACACCCACGAACACACGTGTATGTAGTTACGCGCCTATGTGAAGTACTAGGGGTTACAGAGTGGAAAAAACAATCTGAGGTTGGATGAGAATTATTTTCTCCCACGACAAGATCCTTTCGTATGCGCGTATTCGCATAAAGTCAATTCCTTGAGTCAACTAGGAGAAGGAGAAAGGTTTCGTGATGAAATTGCATTTTTCTCAAGAAAAACGCCAGTTGTGTTTCGTAATAAGCTGGACACCGACAAGGTTACACTTCATCCTATTATCAATCCTTGAGGCTCACTGAACGAACTAATAAAAACTAAAGCTTAAGTGTTTCTTACCACACTTTGAGAAACTCTTGTCGTGCCGAGATTGATCTACTTATTTGCCGGACTTTATCATTGTAATGCGCACCGTACTTTGAAGTGGAGGAAAATAAGTAATACATGCTACCAACTTCATCTACTTCAGAATAAAGAGGCAGTTTCGGCCAATGCAAGTCCAGGAAGAAGGCCATATTGAAGAAACACAGTTAAGTTCTGGACCTAACCGAAACCGAGTTCGTGTCAAAGCCACTAAGGTAACACGGTTGATACCGTCCTTGCCAGGAATGGCATGGAGATTGGGATTAGCACGCCAAGCCCAACGGTTAATTCAGGTTGAGAGCTCCAATTTTATTTTCACAGCAATGGGAGTAGCAAGTCTAGTAAATTTTCTACGCTCTGCCACGGTTAACTATTGACCGGGGCGCTGACTAACTCCTGGCAGGGTTGAGGTAGAAAGAGGTGATTGGAGAACAGGCAGGCGGGCAGGCAGGGTAAGTGGGTAAAGAGAGGCAATGGGGAGGAGTGGAGGGCAGCGGATGGGCGTTGTGAGCGCAAAGGTCATAATACGGTAGCGAACTTGTGTATGTGCACGCCCGCTTGCCCAATTCGCAGCACGCTCTAGCCGCTAGGCGAAAGCGACGTACAGACATGTCGCAACTGGTGCATGCACGCACATACACAGGGACGCACACGCACGCACATACATGCGCACATCCACATGAGTCAAAGGTCGGGTTAGCCAACGAGAGCGGGTCATGCACTCGCACGTGCGCACTTACCAAATGCACGTACGCACTTACAAACACGAGTCAAAGGTCGGTGCGTGTGCGTACGTGCATACACAGTAAAGCGCATAATCGTAAAAAGCAAAGCGCGTATAGGACGAGGTCAGTGCGTGTGCGCACGCACTTATGCACGCACGCAAGCAAGCCTGTTTTGTCTCGATCTCGCTATTGCTCTCTCTCGCTCTCGCATACGCACGCCCTCTCGCTCTCGCCGTTGTGTGCGCTCTGTAACACTTGCCTCCTGGCGTGGTTTATGTTGGTTTGTCTGCCTATCTATCTGCCTCGTACGTGGATTTTTTTCAATTCGCTGATAACCACGACCAACAGGGCGGTAAGTATGATTCCCACTCCCCAAATTGTGGTCATACCAGCCCTGGTCATCCAGACTCCCTAAATGTTTGAGTGATGATTGCGCGTTTGTAGTTTAGTTTTGTGCTTGTTTAACCGTTTCCTTCCGCCTCTTCCTCCCCTCCCTCCCAACCCTACCATCCTGTACACACTAACCTTATGGGTTACCTCGTGCTAGCGGGAATCAGTAGTGAGAGCGTGTGCTGATACAATCGATTCAAATCTTAATTTCTCATCGCTGAATTGAGACTGAGCCGGCGATTTTTTCATGGCAGCAACGTTCCCCTAATGTGAGGGACATAGGTGAATTCTACTGAGTTCTTTAGGTAGGAAAGCAATCACAGACACTTCTCCACATTGGTGCGCTAAGGCTCAACAGCTGTGCACTGGCACCCTCGGTAGGTATTACGACCTTTTGTTCCTCTTTCTTCATCTTTGAACGTAACGGCATTAGCATGAGGTAAACTTAACCAGAACAGCAAAATCGAGGTACATTTCCTTGTTACTTTCTCGAACAGTGATGCAGGCGACTGGTTATCGTTTGCCGCGCTTACTTAGAATATTTTTCCTAAGGGCCAGCAGACAGCGGTGTTAGCACACCATAAGGAACTACGAAATGAAAATGTTCCACCTTTTAGTTATTTGCTGATTGACGGGCTGGGATTTGTGGGGGTCAAGGGGTCAGAACTTGTCCAGTTGGCAAGCTCGAGTTGGTGACTCATGGGCAAGGCGTGTCCAAGTGAAGTAGGTTCAACAGTGCGTGAACGCACTAATCAGCAGTTTACGGGTTGGCGTCTAGGTCAAATATGCAACGGGTATGTGTGCTTGACTGCGTCCTGTTCCGCCAACATTAGTTGTACGTCGTTCCTCACTGTCACACTAACCCCAATTTGTTTTTTCTACGGAAGCAGGGCCTTTTGACCCATTTTCTGGCCAGCTTGTCTGTGGGAAATGAGCATCTGTATTTGACGCTCTGTGGTCTATCGATCGCGATTATCTCGCTTCTATCGGTCGGGCGCGCGTACGTGCCCATTTGCCATGAGGTGGATGTTCCACAGCCTCGGCTCTGCTCTTAAAAGGGAAAGAGTGAAAGCATGCAGCCAAGTACCGCGTTGCGATGAATGATTTCTTTCTTTTCGACTTATGGGTTAGGCAGCTCATTTCTTCGGAGGTTCCGGAGACTCGACGCCCCTTTGAAAGTTCTCCCCTTGAGTTCACGCGCCCGATGTTGATTCTCTGAATTATTGAGTTGACCCCGGGAGAGTTATGTGAGGAGGGGTGTGAGTGCGAGGGTGGAGACACTCGTAGTAGGAGCCCATGGCAGAGCAGAGCCTATCGATTGATCCGCCGGTTGCGAGCTCACATAGGTCAGGCGCAAGTGTGCGTAAGTGCATCCAACTCGATTTTGCGCCACCCCTATTGGTTACTTGGCCTCGCGTTCATTCCACTATTTTTATCACGTTGCTGGGAGTCTAGCCACCTCTTGACCATGGCGTAACTGATACAGCTGTTGACTATTCTCATGAGAGAATTGTGCGGAGAAGCTCAGCTTGCATGTCCACGTGCTAAGGGAAGTGAGAAGCCATTCAAATACACCTGAATATACCATCGTTGCGACCCAAAATTTCGTCATTTAAACTGAGATTTTCCTGGGGGTAATGTTGGCATGTTACGACGCACCCTGTTGCACAGCTTCTACCCCGACTTAGCTGATTAACTAACCCAGTGGTTTTTGCTATCAGTAGACAATTAGTTTTACTTGTTGCTTTCCAGTTTTTTCCTCAAGCGGTATCGTTGTCGAAAGTACCTCATTGCCAAAGTCAGAAATAAGTGCAACTTTTGGATCGTATCAGTGTCAGAAAACGCTACTGCTACTCGATTCAGCAAATCTTCCATCGGCTTATGTCGCATGGTAGCATTTGTCTGCATGCTAGGGTCCTCACGATTTTTCTTAAATCTATTTCTCTGGATTAAGGTTGAATCCGTTGTTCACTCTATGCCATTAATATCTGGAGTGTTTTGTGATGGACAAATAATAGCTTTACCATTACACAGGGGACCAGCGGTACACTTCGGGCAAAGTGCGAACTACTTTGGGCATGCCCACCACTCCAAAGTCAAAGAAGAGCAAAAGCCCACAGCTGAGCATGAGTATCGATGTGCAACAGTCACCCTCCGCTGAAGCGAACCTTGCTCCGGCGCAAGCGGTGGAACTCGCCAACGCATCACAGACCCTCGCCTCGTTGACTGAGAAGCTAATGGAAGGTGGATCTGCTCCTGCCGCAACTGCTGGAGCGAAGTTCCCAATGACGGCGACACCCACTACTTGTGATTGTGACACAGCCACTACCTCACTTAACGACTGCTTCACCGCGATCGCGTCAAAGCTAAACCAATCAGTAGAAGTGCCCAACGGTGGGACGACAAGCTCAGAGACGAAAATATCTGGTCTGGATCTTTACAAATTGCTGGACAGCCTTGGAGTTGCCGGTCAGATGCCTGCGGTTGCCACAGGTAACGTGCATTTGCGCTCCCTGCTGGGTAATAGTACAGTCAACACTACCACTGGTGGTGTGCCTGTAGTGAAATCGGAGGTGTCCACTTCCACTGTTAGCAGCGGACAGTTGCTTCAGCTGCTACGCACCTCTCTGGCGACGACCCCTACAGACTCCCCTCTACCCGTGAACGGCGCCTGTCAGCTGTTGAGCATCCCATTCTCACCTACTCTTCCCATCGCCACTACTGCTCAAGCTATTCCTCAAAACGATATCTATCTCCTCCTCCAATCGGCCATTCTTCGTCAAATGGTGTGTTCATTTCTCATCTATGCCTGTGTAAGGTATCTTCCATCGCCTCTCGATTTAACATGGATCCCTCCGTGACCTGGTGAAGTTCTGAGTTCCATTACCCGCCCACATGGCAGTGGTTGCTGTTGTAGTCATCAGGTGTGTAGCCTCGACTTGCGCCTGCTACCCACCACGCTGTTAAAAATACGTCACTCATCAACTGGGAATGTGTAGGTGCACTTTCTCTACTTCCAAGTACAGACCCCACCTATTCATCTATTGCTAAACCATAAAATCTTACTTACACGAGTCATGAAGCTGTTAGAGGATTGACGAAAAATTTCCAATCCTTTGGCTTCATACTTCGAAACGCCTGTATTATTAGTTGGTGGTGGATCACTTTAACATTACCAGTCTCACTCACGACTTCTTCAGGTCATCCACCTTTCGTACAACTTGGATCTCTGATACATGAGAGGTCCTGTATAGTACAAGTTATCATGAAAACCATTGCATTGGGGCGACGTGGTTACTCCAGAATAACAATGCTATTCTGCCAATGGGGTTAGGGCGGTTCCTTCTGCTCTTCAAACCGCCATTAGCACAATCCAGTTCACATAAATTCCAAATTAATAGTAACATCCGTTTAGAAAATGACTCCATTCAAGCAACATTTCGGACACTACGTGTGCGCATGATGATGTTTGTCCAGTAGACGCCGCATTACCGCGGCCTTGTGGTTCCGTTTCGATTTGCGTCCGTGGCCTTGACACGACCAATGGAATTGAGATGTTCGCTGCATTGTTTTTCTCCCAATTGAATTTATAGGAGCTTAGTGTTGCGTGTGCACAGTGAATTTAAGTACCTAATCTGTCGGAATGCACAAATTGATGACACCCAGAATTCTTGACTGTTATGTAGATAAGGCGAATTAAAATTATCTTAATTAATTTGATCAAACTGTGCTCTTATGACTTCCATAAACAACTTAGAAGCAGACACAGTCTACATTGACTTGTTGTTCTGGTGACCTGGTCCTATGCAGTGCGGCTCCTGAAGATTGTGTCAGGCACGTGAGATACGTTGATCTTGCCCCAGCATTGAGGTCACATGTTCACTATTCATCATGCGCAAAATGTCACTACACTACTCACTTGTCGCCACGTTGAAATAATGCTCCCCCTTACACATGAGCTAAGACTCGTTGTAAGGGAAGCTATTTCATTGTTGTTTTTGTCCAATAGCAACAGCAGACTGCAATCCTCGGAGGAGCGATAGAGCCCCAGACGTCTGGTGCAAGCTTCACCGCCACCCACAGTGTCGGTTCCACCTTTCCCTCTACTGGAGTGTACGGATTGCCCAGTGCAGCAGCACCTCCAACTCAGGCTGTATCCACTGGAGGAGATGTTGGTGGTAGCGGCGGTGCCGATACTGGTCCTCTAGATGCCCTGATGTTGACTAATCGCCTCCAGCAGACCATCGCTGCCCTTACCGCCACATCTACTGGTGGATCCAATGCGCCTCCCATCACTCTTCTCAGCCTTGAGCCGAACCCCTCTGCACCACCAATGGTTACTATCACCTCGTCCCCTGCCCCGCCACCACCACCTCCACCCAATCCGCCCTCAGCCGAGCACCTCATGGCTGCACTGGGTATCTTGGGTCTTGGCAGTGGAGGCGGCGACGCTAGTGGAGGTGCGATTAGTGTCCCTGCGCCGGGCTGCGTAAATAGCGCCGTAACTGCTACTGCAACCACAGCTACCACTCCTGCTAATATTGTTAATGCCAGTGAGCTGCTTAACCAGCTGTACAGTGTGAAACAGGAAGAAACCAAAAGCTCTGAGGAGTCACAACAGAGTTCTAGTGTTTCTCCAAAGGCCTCGACTACTCTGGCACAGACGACAGTACTTGTACCACCGCCACCACCCTCCACAGTCACTACCTCTACCATTGCGACGTCGACAACTTTTTCAATTCGTGGAGCAAGAAGTAGCGACGGAACAGTAGAACCTTGCCTCGTCTGTGGGGACGTTGCTTCAGGTAGATTTATCTTGACGCGATGTGGATATGGAAATACATGGTTATAGAATGGTTAAACTTCATTAGAACTGGAAAAATGACCTTTTTCCGTCCATGTCACTTTGAGACACTGCGAAATTATCTTATCGTAACTTTTTTTGGACCGATCATATGACCTTACACTAGATTCGGTTATCCTTTGTTTAACCTTGTTATTTTTCCTGGCTATGTAGACTGCCTAATCAATCATCTTACGACCATCTAATTTGCTCCACATTATTCCACCATGCGGGTAGTGAATGTGTTTTCGATTGCGAAGTGACGGTACATTAATGGCGTACTCACCTGGGAAGTGCACTCGAAGGAGTAATTGCTCAGATAGATCTATTATTTTCCTGTTTACACTAAGGCTACGACTGTGCACTCTTGCGCACTTGCGCACCACAGTAACCTAGGCGACGATACGTTGGTCGCGTCAAGCAAACCCCATGCCTTGTGTATGTGTGCCGCCACGAGACCAGCATCATCTCCATCTACCTCTGTGTAGGACGTCATTACGGTGTCATCTCTTGCGAAGGGTGCAAAGGCTTCTTCAAGCGCTCCATCCGGGGTCACGTGAATTATGTGTGCCGCAGCAATAAGCACTGTATAGTGAACAAGGCCTTCCGAAACCGGTGCCAGTACTGTCGCATGCAGAAGTGTCTGTTGGTAGGAATGCGATCGGAGGCGGTACAGAACGAGCGGCGTCTGGGCACCACAATGGTTCCTGCCGCCGCCGTTTCGTCATCGCCCTCGCTGGGTGCGACGATGGGTGCGGGCCAGTTTCCACGACTCAGCCTTGATTCTGATCAACCTCCGCTGCTCATTGCCTCACACAACGATGATAGTAGTATCAGTGGCGGCGGTGCCAATGTACACGGAATCAGTGGAGAAAAGACTACTCACAACTGTTCCTCCGCTTCCTCCTCTCCTCTCCCACCCACTGCTTCGGCTTCTCCCGATACTTCACTTGCCGAAGGTGAAATCAGACCTAATCCTCCACAGGTGGGTGTAGATTAGGTTTAATGATGGTCCCAAAACATTAAGGGATACAAATGGCAGAATGGTCCTATTACACCTTTGGGGGTTTAGGTAACTAGCGGGATGGACGAAGCTTAATGTTGTCTAGGGTTTCGAGGAGTGTTCTTTCTATGTGCCATCTATTGTTACATCTGAATCTAGCCAATAGTTACGTAATCTTTAGATCCCCTTGCTGCCCAAGCCAACAATATCTGCTGTGGGAACACCGCCGCCGAATGTAACTTTGGCGGCTACACAGCCATCACAACAGCAGGTGAATTTGAACGAGATAGCGGCGATGCTTGCGGCGCATCAGAAAGTTTTGCCTGCGGCTGTCGCGCCTATTTCAGTTTCGCGGAACCCTGCAGCGGCTGCAGCTGCGAACAACGTCAACTCCATATATAACGCGATCCTCGCATCCACAATGACGTCGCTCGCATCCCGCCTGTCCGACGCCAACGTTAATACGAATTCTGTCACTGGCTCTCATTCACAGATTGTAAACCATGCGTCCGCGCTCCAAATACCACCGCCGCCTTTGCCGCTGCCGCCACCCGTGAATAGGTCCACAAACTTGCTAAATTTGTTGCGCTCAAAGGTGGATCAGGATCAGGTGGAGATGCCGTTAAACGCTGTTCTCACTGCTGCTGCAGCTGTTGCTACTAATCCCATTACTGAAAACGGGGTTTCCAGCAACACAAACAAAGCTACAGATGCTACATCCTCAAGTGGTTTTGGTAAGCTGGCAGAACAGTTGCAACTTCTCCATGGTCTCTGAGAGATGCCATTATTAGTCACGTGTTACCTGTCATTGTTTTGTAGCGCTCAGGTTATTCCTTGTGAAGTTCTAAGGTACGATTTATGGAAAGTCAAAAATTTGGAACTCTGGTAGCGCAGCTAATGTGAGCATCGTTTCTAAAGGCGAAGTACAGAAGTTTGAAGAGGGGTCTGAATTTAAGATGTGTGCTGTTATGATATAATGAAATTCGATCCAAAGTGGAGGCGAATTATACATTTTCAGCTTCTCTTCTTTTTCCGCATCTCACTTTTGAAACTCGAGGAGGTTTCATTGGAAACTTTTAGGCATTCATTTCGGCCATCACACATGTTTAGTTGAAGCCTGTAAGCATATTCTCCGTAGGTGTCTAGGTGGACCTAGTAATTAGTAGCGTGGGCGGACGGTCGGTGTTGTGGTAAGGTGGTAGACTGAATATGTCCATGTAGACTTGTTCTTACAGTTAAAGGGTGTGATCATTTTTACCGCTTTACCTTTTATAAACTAGCCATCGTGTCACCACGTCAACTTTTCTCGTTTTACTCGTTCTTTAATTTCAAGTGCTGTTGGGAGATTTTTTGGTATTGCTAATCAATTAACACTTTGCGCTAATTAGTTTACTTATCTATCGTTTCCATTCCCTGAATTACCGTCAAGTTCGTAAAAAGGGAAATATTTTTCTGCAAACTGGGTGATTTATGGACTGGAAATCGTTGACCGCATATAACAGGATCTGATCTGTTGTATGAAGCGAGATAATTTTGTTCATTTTATCCCCTGTTCACGAAGTAGAAGTGACGGTGGTACCGTCCCCGTCAACGAATCAAAATGGCAACCTTCTAGTGGGTCAGATGATTTCTCAGATGAGTCCAAGTCCGAGTCCGAGCAACGCTTCATCGACTTCCTCTCGGCCTACCAGCCGGAACTCGCGCAAGCGACGCATCAACAGTGGCACAGGCGGCGCTTCCAGCCGAAAGCGTGTCAGCACTACCGCTACCACACCTGCCGCAGCCTCGAACACACATCTACAGTCGGAATTACCGACCACGGAAAATCCCTCACTCCATGAGATGGCATCCCGTGTCCTTCTTGTCACCGTCGATTGGCTGAAGCGGTGCGGACCTCTCGATCAGCTTCCGTGAGTGAAGCTCTGCCATATTTTGTCATCATTGCGTCAGCGGTAGGAAGGGTGGCTGTTAGGTTTTCCTTCAATTTACACAAATCACCGTTTTCAGACTTTTAAAGATACATACAACCATGCATCCTGTTCATGTATAGCCAGGCTGCAAACCACATCGATGTGTTTTGGGTACGGATGCCCAAAACCGACCCACACAACATAACCGCATCATTTTGCAAGGAGAACTGGTATTGATTTATTTGTTTCCATATACCCACGGTTCTAACATGTAATGCAAGTAGACCGGTGCGACCTATGTTGGGGGTCAGAAGGCCACTTTATCATTTCTGTTCTCTAACAACCTTGGATATTCTACTCTAAGGCCTAAGTGCTTTTCCACCTGCTATTCCATCAACCATATTTTATTTTCCGCAAATTCGTTCACAGCTTTGGATAGTGATTTGTCCACTTGAAAAATCACTGATGTGAAGATAATAAAAAAGACCTATTTTTCTTCGTCTACAAATTCAGGTACTATACACACCAGCCCATTAACTACCCTTGAAGTCATGCATGCAATTCGTAATACCAAATTATTAGCTTGATAGCCAACAACAAGGCTGGTATATTCATTCTGTTATCAGGACCGATTCTAACACGAGATTTTTGATTTGCCTACATGTTAAAATCGGTGCCATCAAGTCATGTTCTTAGGTCCTCCCCATTCCCCATGCAATTTCGCAAACTTCTTGTGTGCATTCAGACTTGGAGGCATGGCCGGATATTGTTGACCTCAGTTGACCCGGTCGCTCAGTGACCTCCGCCCCCTCGGGTTTCACTTTGACCTGCAAGGTCAGGTTTGCGTGTACGTAGCTATTCAAGCACTGATCCAATCCGAACGAGTAGGATAAACGTAACCCCTGGGGTCAGCACCTGACCTCGTTGGCCATCTGAAATGATCAGTCGAAGTCAAACTGACTACTACTGAGCAAATAGGGTGCTTTTGGCGTATAACGAATCGTCAACCTTGGACACCCTCGTCCTCCAATGGGTGTCTGGCCCAGCTTCACAAAAACAACCTTTTGTTGTTTACCAAGTCGGGGAGGGAGAGACAGGGCGACGCAAAACATCTGTTCTGCCATGGAGTCCGTCTCGCGTGTTTCTGGGGTGTGCGTGTGATTGTGCCTTCACTCAAACCCGTTGTGTCGTGTACATGTGTGTGCTTGTTGGTCGTGTCAAAACAAAGGCTTCGTAGGGTGGTGATGAGTGGGGATAGGGGTGTGGAGGTTGTGAGATTCGGTGCTTATGGCGCGGAGTGGCGCGCATCGTTTGCGGACATACCAGCCCTATTGATGACGCATAGCGCATGCATACGCACGCATACGTCCGCATGACTAATCGCGTCTAGCGACTGGTGTGACGTGCACAAACCTGACCCGTCTTCCACCGCCTCTGAAGGTATTAACTCAGTGAATTTGTAAAAGACATTTTGTTCAAGCGGCTTTGTGACTGGTAGGATTGTCGAAATGCCCCTTGAAATCGGTATTGTGTCAGTTTTGAAGCTCTTCATTTCAGATCTGATCTCCAAAATGAGTTGATCGCCTTCTCTTGGGTGGATCTATTCATGCTGGGTCTCTGTCAGATGTTTGGCCGGAGATTGGGCAGCTTGAAGATAGAATTCTTTTGCCCGACTCAAGGCGACGACTTTGGGATCGACGTCCACTCGCTAAAGTCGGATTTTAATTCAATCGTGTCAAGCTTCAGCAGAGCTGAAGTTACTCCCGAGGAATACACCTATCTTCGCTACATGGCCTTGTTTAATTCTGGTAAACTACTTCATTGGCTGCAAACATGTACTAACATTTAATAAGTAACATGAGTGACTTCCTTAATGACAGGAGGGCTAAAAGCGAATGACGCAGCCGGCTTGAATCGAGTTCGAGAAATCGAGCAGAAGGTCCAAGTGGAATTTGCTGGCTTTCTTAGAGAAAGCGATTCACAGAAGATTAGTGACGACGGAGCCCAGCGACTGACCGAAGTCCGAATCGCCTCTAGGGGTCTTCGACTGATGGGTTTAGTTTGTGGTCTTCGTCGCGTCACTAGTGTCGACGTCGGCCGAGTTTTCTTCCCAAGTAATTCATCTTGTTTTTTTTTTCAGGTGTCAAAGTACATTAATATTATAAAATCAAGTCTATTATTGATCCGAACTAAGATTGATATAGAGCAAAGCTACCGGCAACTTATCAAACGAGTTTGATTAGTAGTTACGACGAGGAGTCCTTAACTAAATTTGCTATTACAAATGGATTACTCTTGAAGTTATGATGATTTGAGAGTTTCGTGTCCTTATCTGGTGTGTGCATGTTTGGGTATGTTGTCTTAAGCGTGAAATAATAGTGAAAGTGAAGGTTCTTTCGAATAGTGATTTGCTGCATAGCATTTGAATGGAGGCTGACAGCTATTCACTGCCATTTGCAAGTACTGGAAGCATAAGGACACCATGAAATCAAAACTGCAACTGTGCTATCACAGGACCAATCGGGGTTTTGCTCCTTTCCAGACATTTGCGGGAAAACATCTATAGACAAGGTGATCGAAGATCTTCTGCAAGTTGGACGCAACAAGAGTGTTTCAAATAGTCTCAGTGTCGTTGCTAAGGTCATCGAACAGCCGTCGGAGAACGCCTCCCAGATCCTGTCCATAGCCGCTGCTCCCTTAGCCACGAATAACTCTGAGGAGCATGTGAGCCCTTCAGAAACTTCAAATGTCACTGATCTCATGGCGAAGCAGGAGGACTATGAAATACTGGTTCAGAAAACAAGGAGGGCGAATGAGGAAGTGACGGCGGAAGTGGAAGACGAAGAGGACGAGGACGTCCCGTTAACCATTGAGGAGAAACCACAGTCTCCTTATCAGTGCAAACCTTCACCGCCTGGTTGATAGCCTCAACGGTAAAGCGCCGCTTACCCAAAGCAGATGTTGTCTTTTCATTTGTGTACATTTTCAAGCATACCCCCTAGTCTTCACTCCAACAGCTTTCTACTTATGTGTACCTGCGCCTGCAGATCCCTTTCATATCAGGCATACAAGCAAACTAGCAGGCAGAGCTAAAGAGAAAATAAGATTAAGCGCGCCAGTACCCGGCAGTATCGCCGAGGTCTTTCTGCTGATGTTGATAATTCCCTACTCTTCCCCCTTTCTCTGTGTTTAGACTAACAAGCTCTGTATGTACTTACTGAGATATATCGAAGGAGAAGAAAGCGGTGTATTTTGCTCGTTTTTATTTGGTCTTTGTTCTGTTGTGTTAAAGTTGAAGTTGAAGGCGTAGGCTAAAACTGCAGTGTAGGTCTGATAGTGTGAATTTCATTTGATTAAGGGAGGGGTGGTGGAAAGGTGACTGTAAATTGTAATCCTCCAGCCTTTTGGGTGCTAGGGTGCTGTTTTGCTATATCCAATTCAATGGGACCTAGTGATGTTCGAAGTCTATCACTGCATAAGGTTGATGCTGGTTTCGTTCGTTAGTGCTATGACGGGCTTGGTTGTGAAAGCTTGTTCACTATTCAAGTCAAACATTATTAGTGAAACAGCACCTATGTATGTCCAGTACTGAGTTATTGAGGTGCACTACTACTCACTCACACTTGAACCTTCATCAATTCATCGAAATCCGAATTGATGTTAATCCACTCACTCAGCTTAATGTCTTTGTCCATCTCCCGAGTTCCGTCTTTTAGGAAATTTAGGGTAACAAACTAAAGTCATCTAAAATGGCTTCAAGTGATGAATTTCTTCTCAGCAGGCTATTTTAGTGGGGAGGAGATAGATAAATAGCAGCCAAGAACGACGACGATGCTGAAGTCAACTATCGGTTGGGTTTATTAGAGTTGGACAGGTTGCATGTATTCATATGATCAGCATAGATTTAATCCCTCTCGATCTTCTTACTGCAAATATTGCTTTTGCTCCTCTCCCTCTTCACCTTGAAGCTTCTTTCTGTTCCTCAGATCCATCCATAGGTCTTCCTTGTTGGCACTGACCGTTAGGTCAAACACCTCACTCATAGCTGCATGCGTCTTCTCCATAAGGCTCCCAGCATCGGCGGAAGTGAGACCCTCGGTAGGAATTGGTGGAAGGATGTACACTCCGTAGGCGGCTGTAAATAAGGCAGGCAAAAGTAGGATTTTGATTGTACGATGTAATTCGCGGGCTACTTATAAGTACAAGTAGGAAGGCTAGCGCTGGATGGGTAGTTGTAGGAAATAATCAAAGCGACGGGCATCGGAGCAATTGCTAGTATATAAACTAATCTCGGTGAAATTAGTGAATAAAAATCAGCAAAGCAGTATTTGTATAGTGGTTCGAAGGTCAAAGAGACTTCAAGGTTTCCAATACTAACAGATTTCTTAAACAGTTTATGTTTCTAAGTTCTTCCCATAGACCAGTTTCGAATCAGCTTGTAAATTATGAAATAGGCAAAGACATGATAACCTCGAACACATTAAGGCACACCTCAAGCCTCAAAATAGGCGCCTTAACCACGGCGCCTGCGCATTGTTTGGCTTGATTGACCCAAACACGTAAACGCAGGTTTACCCTCCTTAAGGCACATAAACAAATCGCTTCGCATTTTGCGCCCCCACCCCTTCCGCCTTCATTTCAACTGATTTTTCGGTATCAAGTGTTTCGATTGCATGTACTCCTGCGTGTGGGCAGAGTAACAACGAATCCCATTGTAAAACATGATCTAAAGCTAAAATCATTCTCCACATGGCTAAAAAGGGAAAAGACCCAGAAGAAACTTGAATGTTGGCTACAATCAGTTGGATCCCGTCTAACTTTCTTGACGCATGACTGAAAAGAGGCAGTATAAGATAGATCCCAAACGGGAAATGCGTCTTCCGGATTAGCTCAATTCGATTTAGCCTTATTCAGGCTTCGGTAGTTTATAACTTAAGGCGGTAGTGGTCAACAATATGATACCCTTAAGTGGGAGCATGCCTAACGAAGCTGAACAGGCGCATCTTCCAATTCACTTGTCGCATAATATTGAGACACTAAGATCAAAGCGGGTAGTCTTCGAATAGGATGTTTCCAAAAAGGGATGCATAGTTAGTGGTCGCTTAGCCTAACCACAACGGTCCAGTTAGCTAGCCATTTAAGGTCTCATAAGTTCAAACAGCTAACCTAATCGACGCTCCTCCAAGGCATAAGTTTAAGTTATCGAAACAAAGTATGGAAGTGCCCAACTTCACAACTCTGTACACGTCAAGTGGTAAAAGTTTTAACTTCATTCCTAATTGGCAGGGTGATCAAGAAAAGGAAACCTATATTGTAAGTTTTCAATGCGCTTATCAATAGTGTGTGGGCCGCAAGAGCGGGATTCACCATCAGACCTGTGCTGATAAAGTAACTTGCAGAACGTTAATTGACTGCACCATGTGAAACACAAAATCAAGTTTACAAGGAAATTATAAGAGAAGTAAGGCTGTCTTTTTTTACGAAAACATTTTTGGGTTTAACAAACCAAAGGAAATCACGAGACTGCATTCTGTAGAAAAAAACAGGCCCAGGCAAAGATGTTGCTATTGCAAATGAAAATCTCGAGTTGCGGGTGGTAACACTTCCTGAGATTGCAAATACAACATAACGACAAT